TTGTTTAACAACCAAGTTGCCGGTCCCAATTGTGGTCACTAAATGAGGACTACCTGCACTATTTATTACTTTGAAAAGAAAGTGAATCTTTTATCCTGACTAAAACTTAGTGCACTATACAAAAGTTAAATAAATGTAACATGTTGGTACCTTTCGGAAGATCCCATCCAAATGAACATGCTTCTGAGCCAAGTAATGAAATATGCAATTCTGTGGCTCAGAAGCTAGATCTCCCCACTCCTAGCTTAACATCTAACCCCAAGACCCTACTGGCCATCAAGGGAGCTTTTGAGACCTAGAACAAAACAGTGACAGCAAATGCAGAATTTTTAAGCTTGAACAGGGTTGTTAAGCTGCTGTATGTCTTTATTTATTTATGCATAAGATTTCTATCTGCTTTTAGTCGGTTTACTCTGATATACAAGATACTGTACAAAGCCAGTATGCTGACAGCAGTCCCAAGATCCCCAAGCATGCTGTTTCCAATTTCTTAGTTCTTGACTGTAATAATGAATGGCCAGGTCAAGGGGAGAGTTCTATGTATATTTATTTAACTAAACTAGGTATAGGTCATGTATAGAATTCTCCTCATGTTCAAGAAATTTATATTTTGCTAATCAGAGAAAGGTCTAGGATTGTGAGATAGAGCCAGAGGGCCTAGTTCCATGCCTCACACAAGTTTGAATGGTCAGTTAATATTTAAGTCTGTTATTGAGACTCTTAAACTGTCTGCTGCCACCAGGGACCAACTGGGTTTTGAAACTCAGATCCAGTAGCCTTGGGAAAATGAAGGATGGGGAAGAAAAACAAAAGGCAAGTCTTAAATTCATATTATTGTAAATCCACTGAGAGTAATAGTAAGCAATATAATGTTTAATAATAAATAAATAACATTAGCTGAGGACGGGGAAGGGAGGGAATTAGGTTTGGGGTTTAAAAGCATCAACTTCCACCTACTAGAAGTCAAGGTTTCACAGTCTGAAGCATCAGAAAAAGCCATAAGACTCATAATAGGGCTCCCCCTAAAGTTGCATCTCAATTGTTAGAGTCCAGTCCTTGGCATATCATTCAAAGACCAACTAGAGGCTTCTACCCAAAAAGGTATCAAGCTCTGCTATGCATGGATATTTCTGAAGAAGGTAAAAGTAGAAAGGTCAACTCTTCTTTTTTTTCATTATTCAAAATAGTGTGTAGCAATGGAGGCGAATATGTGTAGCCCCAAGGACTCCACAAAATAGTGTGTTATTTCTGTTAGATATCTGCAAAATGTTCAGTTTTTCAGCAATAGTCGTGTGGTGTTGTTTGGCAGATGAGAGGAAAGCACTGGGGGGAGTGGTACAAATAGGAAATTTTGGAGCCTGGATCTAATGATTTTATTGGGCTCCTTTGAAGTGACCATTACTTGGCAGTAACCCCAGTTTTACTGTAGAAAGGAAGAATAAGTAATTAAAAGAAAAAAAAAATCTTAAAAATAAGAAAAAGTTGTTGGAGCAAATGGTATAAGTCAATCTGTGTCCCACTGTGTGTCAGCCCAAATATTTGGGCAGGGCTTGTTATCATTGCTCCAAGGTGCTACTACTCTCTGGATGAACATTTGGGACTTCCCTGAACAGTAATTTGAATTTTTTTTTTCTGGATGGGGGATCTTGGACTTTAGCTATGGCTAAGCTAGTGTTGTGGGTATAGGAGAAAACATATTGTCTGCCCTTGAGTTAGTCCTGAAGTCAATCTTATCTCCCTATCTTCTATAAAACTTCTGTTAGAGGCTGGCTGGAGGACTAGTATGTTTTTGTAAGACAAGGCTATGCTATAAAACCTATTACATTTAAAACATATATCCTGAATTTGTCCCTAAAGTGTGTAACTTTTCTTTTGTCTCTTAGTATGCCTCTGAGTCTACACCATATCGTAAAAGGTATTTATTACTTTATTGCCAATTCATCTATAGAAAAATAGATAGGAACAATATTTTGATCGGGCAAAATCAGATAAAATATTCAGTGGTGGCTGAGAGGATGAAAAATAGGGGATAAAAAAGGTTAATTTTGTTCATTTCTCACCCTGGAAAGACTTAAATCATATATTTGATACCACCATGCTTTCATTTCCCTATCCAGGTTTTTGTAAGAATATACTTACCTCTAATTGCAGAGAAAAAGTGGTAGCGGAAACCCACGGAGGCAGGGTGCCCTGTATTTATTAGGGCACCGTGTATCTAGACAGGCTGTCACCTATCCGTCTCGATTTTCCTTTCCACATTCAATGGTTTGGACCATGCATCAGTGGTTCATATCAGCATACCACGGCACAGGCTGTTTGCCAAGCTTCATCTTCCCAGAAAAGAAAAGTGTCACTTAGTTATCCTGCTCCTTTCAGTCAAATCTTGATGTGGGCTGATTGTTCCTGGCCTCTGGAAGATCTTTATATTTCTGGAAGGTATGAGAGAAAGAAGAGGACCAGAATTATTATTAGACAGAAGACACAAGAGACTAATAAATTAAGGATGTGCAGTCTAAAAGCACCCTCAAGAATATGACAAGTTAAAGCTAATACAGAAGCCATATGTGCATTCATTTTATTTATTACTGATGGATTCCATTGTGATATGGCTCGACAGTTACGGATACTATCTGCTTAAAAATGTGCACCAGGAGATGTGCTTGATAAATTATGTTGCATTTATGCTTGTTAACAGCACTGAATAGTAACACAGTGGTTCACACTATGGTAAATGGAAACACTGCATATCAATGTAAGTGTTAATTCTTTTATTATGATATATTGAAGATAATGGGTCAGACATTCTTTCATGACTGAAGCACTGCTTATGTTTATTCTTATACTACAGTGCCTGTAATAGCCTATATTATTGAACTCCAGATCTTTTTTGTAAATTTATGTCTATAAAATCAACATCTAAGCAATTTAAATAAGAAGAGAGGTTCATACTTTTTCTTTTTTCCCCGGGATTGCATTTATAATAACCTGTTTATTACAGTCTGTATTGGCACCGGACTTGGACAATGTGGAGGTGTCCCATTTTGGAGTCGGATAGCTCATTAAGCTTGTAACTTTATTTTGTAAGGTTTTTAATACGCATGTTGCACTTTTTTGAACAAACAGGATTTTGTTTTAATGTAAATCGTAATGTAAAATAATGTAGCTGTTATTTTTAGAATAATTCTTTTCCTTACCTGAGTTCAATTCAGTCTGCTCAGTGAAAAGCATAAATTCAAATTTTAGCATCAAAAGAGATTAAGGATCATTTCAAGATCTGGTTGAGAGGTCAGGTGGCCAAGGGCAGCAGGCACACTCAAGCACAAATATAAAGTCACTGGAACTCACTCACCTCATCATTTCCAACCAGGTGCATCAGATGGTCGAGCCTCCGGCAGCACAAATATTTGAAAGGGTTTTTCCTGCTGATGAAAATAACCTCCTTGACTCCTAAAGTGTTTTTTAAAAAGTCAACAGCATCATTTTAATTTATGCAGTTGAGGGATGTGCTGGGGCTGGATTCCTTTAAAAAGCTGCTAGTTTCTCCTGACCTTCACTTGCCTTCCTTGGGTCATCTTGAAAAAGTGAAGCAGGGCTGGAGTTAGCTACTACTGCAACATGGATAGCAGACAAGAAATCCCAGAGCTGTAGGCTAGACTTAAGTTAAAAAAAAAAAAAAAGGCCCGGAAGGAGACACGTCCATATTGTTGCCCAAAAACCTATATGGACATGCTCATGAAGTTAGAATGATAGGGTTAGAAGGAACCTCAGAGGTCTTCTAGTCCAACCCACCGCCCAGGCCAGGAATTCTCAGATCATCCCAGACAAATGGCTGTCCAATCTTTGTTTGAAAGCCTTTGGTGATGGAGCACCCAGGAGGCAGGCTGTTCCACTGCTTAATAGCCCTCATTGTCAGGAAATTCCTCCTTATACTGAGTTTGGTTCTCTCTGTAAAGCTTCCACCTATTGCTTCATGTCCTACCCTCTTCCCTGTGACAGACCTTAAAGTATTGGAAGACTGCCACCATGTCTCCCTGTCTCTTCTTTAAACTAAACATGCCTACTTCTTCACAGGATTTGCTCCAAGTCCTCACCATTTTTGTTGCTCTTCTCTGCACCACTGTTGTGTTGCGGTGACCAAAAGCAGACACAGGGTTCCAGATGCTGCAGTCTGATCAGTGCCTGTAGAGTGTGATCTTGACAAGTAACCAGGAGTCCTCTCTTCCTTCCTCCAATACTGCTCCAGGAGCCCACAGAATCCAAATCAGACTTGGGATTGTGAATCAGTACATCTGATCACTATCTGGACTATTTTAATTTGCATAGCTAGTATTCCCTCTTTCAGTCCTTCCCTGTCAAAACCATGCTTTACATTGTTATTTGCTTCTCTGCAACCTGCCTGTAGCACTGGGGAAAGGTGGGTAGGGTAGGATCTTGGCCTCCTTAGCTTTTAAAAATGTCTTGCCCTGCCCTCTCCCAATGTAAAGGTCAAATGTTCCATTTTTCTCAGAAGGGGCTTCTGAGAAAATATTTGAGCAGGCTGAGGGTCGAGAAGGATGCCTGAGAAAGCAAAGGTCACCTTAGTCAATCCTGCTCCCTTTCCTTTCCTTTCCTTTCCTTTCCTTTCCTTTCCTTTCCTTTCCTTTCCTTTCCTTCCTCCTAAACACAACCCTTTCTCCCGAATGTCTGTGAAGACGGTTTTGCCACCATCGGTGGCTTAGAGACATGCGTGTTTTCAGTGGCATTTAAACAAAAAACCAGCTAAACCACGAGGGCTGAAACGCGCGGAAAGGAAACAAAGCGGGCAGCGGCTGACACTCTCGGCGCCTCGGTTTGGTTCGCCTTGTTTATTTTTCGAGCCACCCCCGAGGAGCGGCCGGGGGCTTCTCCTGCAGCAGTCTCGGCGAGGGAGCCAGCCTGAGCGAGTCACACGCTGCATACACGCATCCCCGCGCTGGGCCGGGCGGGCAGGGGGTGGAG